TGCGTCCCTCCCGAAGCTGCGCGCTCGGTCGAAGAGGACGACCTTCCCCGATAGAGACGTACCGTTCATCGGTCAAGGGTATACGGTAGCTGCGCTCCCCTGCTAGAACCTCCAAACAAGCTCAAGGTCCATTTGTAGGAGAACGTAGGGTAGTCAAGCTTCCAAGACTGCAGACACATCCAAGTGAGGCACTGCATGGGGCAGTCTGCCATTGTTTTGCACCTTTCTCCAGACCCGCAGAAATTCCCTGTATGCAACATATTCTTACTCACTGGGGGCTGCACAGGCGAATAATTTTAATCAATTTTTACTTCCATCCCCAGAGGCCATCCTCAGTTTACCACTTCTCCCACTTCCATCCCCCAGTCACCTCTGAATGAATCCTTGAGCTCCTCACCTTACACACCCCGGTTACAATACACCATCTTTGCACTTGTATTTTTCTCCTAGTTCGTTGCCTGTACAATTCATTTTAAGCTCACTTGAACAGTTAGCAAAAAGGCTGGGTTTGTCAGCTATCAACCGTCTTCAACTTCTACTGCCTTGAAAGGAGGGAGAGGGAGAAGAGGGAGAGGGAGAAGGAGGGGGGGGGGTTGAGTTCAGTTGGAAGGGACCTACAGTGATCATCTGCCTGTCCTTCCGAGGTGTTACGCATCTTCTGTTCTAATCCAGTGTTGCAGTTAGTTTCAGAGGAGTTGATATCCATGGACTAAACTATAGCTTGACACGAGGCTCACTGTATATTGCAGAAATTATGTGCTGAGACTCAAATCAGGTGGCCAATGAACTTGCCCAAAGAGCACAGCTGCCAGGAGTCAGTACCTGGGCCAGACTGGCCACTGAAACAAGCACCAGCTCCTCTCTTTCACTTCTGCCCCCTTCGGAGGGAGAAGGATGAGAGAGAAGAGACTTACGAGTTTTAAAAAATCCTAAACTAATTTAATGAAAATATTAATAAAATAATAAAAAGCAAATAATGAAATATATACAATAATACAAAACCACATCAAGCTCCCAGGATGACGCTCATGTCACTGGCTGACACGGGGCATGTCCCAGACTGGACTCAGTGACAGATGGGAGCTGGATTCCAGAGCTGGATACCAGAATGTGTGGATCAGGATCAAAGGCAACAACAGGCAGAGTCTTCCTCAGACACCAGCCATTGAAAAAAAAGGGCTGAGTTTTTGATCCCTCAGCTTTTATATTGAGCATGATGGGATGGAATACCCTGTTGGTCAGTTTTGGGTCACCTGTCACATCTGCTTCTCCCCACAGGTGCGACCCCTCTATGCTTTTCCACTTCCAACCGGGCAAATAACAAAGTTAGCTGCCCTTGAGTGTTATAGCAATAAATATAAACAAAAGCCTCTCTGTGTACCATGCCTTGGCATAAATTAGGAACAATCAGGTCTTATCTCTCTGGGAGTGGAGACTGTTGGAAAAAATATGCTGTTGATTTCAAAGAGTTAGTTAGAAGAGGTTTAGCTGAAAAGTAAAATTACGGAACAGAAAATTTGTTCTGTTTTACCTCAAACCAGCACAGCACCAAACATAAGGGTTATTTAAAAAAAAAAACAACCACCCCATAACTAAACAAAAAAACAAAAGCCAAACTAAAGCGGTTTTATTAAAAACTGAGCAAAAGATCAAGACTCTAGTCAGTCAGTATTTCTTCAAGAGTAACTTTATTCTGGGCAGGAGACTTGACACAGAAGGAATGAAACAAACATAACGTTTTTGAACAAAAACACTGAATAAACAAGAACCGTTATCTCTTTAAGATCTTACTCACCCTGACAATTCCACCCTCTCCTTCCACCTAAGTTCAAAAATGTTCTTTCAATCTCTGTTTTCCTCCTCAGTTTATGGAACATCCTATTCGCATCAACAGCCTTATTAGATACAGAAATACCATGGAAGTGGGTTTTCTGGGTTGGGTTTTTTTTGGCTAACATCATGGCACTTACACAAGACTTTTATGAAATTCTGGATTACAGAGGTGAATGAGTCCACTGTCAGGCTCCTTTATTTCCAACGGTCATTATCACGTTATACATGAAAGCCTGAGAAAATGTAAACAGTAGGATTCTAAAAACATTTTGCATAAAGATGCTGCTAAATATTAAAACACAAAGTAGTAGGTTACGTATGATAAATTCTGAGATATGCTGCTTGTCCAGATTTCAGTATAATAAAGACCTATATCTTTTCCGTATCTGTATTGCACACTGAGATGGCACAGTAAAATCCATAACTCAGTCAACCCGGTCCTTACTCAAAAAGAACTTTTTCCAACTTCAGTAGGAATTTGCTCACGTAAAGGCTACAAGACTACTGCCATTATACTCCTACTTAGCAAATGTTCTGTCCCATTGCACTAAACTAGCAGAAGTGATTCTGAATATCAAGATTATTAGCTTTTCTCCCAAAATAAAGGCTTTAATTTGGGAAAGGAGGAGATATGCCAAAAAAAAAAAAAGTACTATTTCTTTTTCTAGTCTTTTTGCTGGACTGACCAAAACCTGAATGCTATAGTCAAGAAAATCACTGCAGGGCTGATAAAGGCTGAGAGATTACAGGCCAGATTCAGATTCATCCTGTATTACTTTAAACGCACAGAGTAGTCCCTACCCTTAGTGGAGAGACCCAGGTGTCTCCAGGGGGCTGCTAAGTTGTCAGTGAGCTGAATTTCTCTTGAGATGATTCTCACTCACCACTGGTTTAAAGATTCAGCTCACAACACAGGAGCTCACGCTCAGGTGCCTGCGGTTAGGTAGGATAATTCCAAGCCTCAGCAGCCCATCCTCGTGACTTGTTCATCTCCTGCTTCCTCTAGTAGGAATTAAGTGTATGGAACAGACTAATTGAATTGCCTACTTAGGTCTAGCGATACTTAGGATAGGTTCAGGAGACCAATTATTATAATCGAGACCAATTATTCAGTGATAAAATAAATTAAATGATATCTAGACATAAATACAGATACTTATTTCCACCAGGAGAAACAACTATCTTTCCAGTTCTAACACAAATATACACATTTCCCTTTCCACTTCCCCAAAGAGACCATCAGTGTGTGCTTTAGAAATGAAATGGCTGCTTTACTTTACTGCTATGAATTGGCACCACTGCTTTGGAAGCAGTTAGGTATGGTTTGGAGTTAGTGCTTGCTATGAACAAATAATGGAGTAGCTGAACAATTAACATGTCCTTGGCATGTGTAAATCTTGTACGCAGACTTTTTTTTAAATGCATAGACCCTTCTGCTCCCTTTTTGTCCTGTACTGTCTCATTCTGGACTGAGTCCCTAGAAGCAGTGACCAGTGCTCCTCACGGATCCCCCCGCAGCACTGAGCCAGCAGCCTACTCTAGGGTACCGCTCCCCCACAGTCCCATGCCTTCTCCACAGGAAGCACTGAAAAGGCCAGTGTGTGCTGTCTGCAGTCCCCAGCAGTTGCCCCTTGTGGGTGCCAGCAGATCCCATGGAGAGGGTCTCACTGACACACGAGCCATTCAGCTCCTTCGAAACAGCCGGATGCCAAGAACCATACCTGCTCTGATCCCTTTACACTGGACTTAAGTCTCATAAATACAAGATTTGCCTGGGCTGTTCATAAAATGAGCTCAGATGAGGTTTCCCAAAAGGTGAGCGTTTCTGTAGGCTTCTGCAGGAAGATGCGTTTTTCACAGCACATTTCAGCTTTGATGGTGCTGTTCCAAAACGCAGCCATAAAAGACGCTCTCCCATAGCACTGCAGGAGGTGCGGGAACACCCAAATCATCAATCTTGTGCTGGTGGCTGGACTCTGGCACTTCTTTCCAGTGCAGAATTAAACCAGACTAAGGGGCTATTTTCTTTTCTCTGTAACCTGATAGTTAATTTTCTCTTATAAACTGAGTTAAACTGCTCTTCAAAGAGCTGCATCGCCTTCTGTGAAATCAACCACAATTTTAGAACAATTTTTAGCAGGACCAGGTAAGGTCCCATGTTTCCCAGTAGAGCCTGGGGGCCGAATTTACAGAAGCTGATATATTCTTCACAATGTAAGCAAAGATGTATCGAAGTGAAGAACAACTGAAGTAAGCTTAAACTGACTTATTTCCTCTGGATTTTTTTTTTTCCTCCCAAAGTGATTTAAAACAGTTGTGAAAATTAAGTCAGCTGCATAGATAGTTTCCTTAAACTCTGCTGCCAGCGTATCACTAATACTTTGTTACTCTGAAACCAGCTTTATAATTGTTAATACTGTCTTAAACATGTCTTCAGGTCTTATATTCCCAACAACAGCAAAAAAGGAAGCAGCGGAATCTGATCTTTCTCCTTAGGAATCATTAGAAAATTTAAATGAATTTAACAGAGGTAGGTCCACATTCTATTTCATAGAGAACAACGCCAAGCAGCAACTTTGAAGCAGGACAAAAAGAGCACTGTGTCAGAAAACAGATCTATGGAAGCGTATTCATCCTTCAACAAACAAAAAGATTCCTCAAATTTGGTAAAAGCAGAAGAATGGAGCTGGAAAACTGGACAGCAGTCCAAGAAAAGCTTTGTAAAGGCAAAAATAAATTAAAAAAAAAAAAAAGCCTCCCACTGTCCTTCAGCAGTCTCTCAGTGACTGCGGAGGAGAGTTTAGACTGATAGTCACTCAGTCCTTTGAAGACAGTACAAAGCAAATGAGTATAGGACAACAGAAGCGTGGCATCAAGACATGGCATCACTGAAATTATACAGCCTCATTTAGCACATAAACTTCAGAAAATGTCTAATGAATGCCCCTTCCTCAGTACTTCTCTTCCACTGCAATATTGCACCACTTTGCTTTTTTTATCCACTTTCATTAAAAAGTTGATTTTAATAAAGGAAAAGTTAAATTTTTAAAAAGTTTGTTATAAAAATTTGTCGTATAAAAATGCCAAACCCCCTAAGCCATATATACAAAATGTATCAGATTTATGAAAATAACTGGACCCAATTATATAACAAAACAATTTTATACAAAAAGGTACAAGATTGCATTCAAATTAATACAAATAAAAGTAAAAAAAAAAAACTTCAAAAAATGTCTCGCTCATAGAAGATCTGTTTCTTTTAAATTTACAGGTATACAAAACAGTATCAAATTGTCTCGTGTTAGCCACCATTTCATGGGAAACACGCACTGGTTCTGAGAGTATTTCCACACATCACCGGTGAGCACCATACTTTGCAGACCAGTCAACACGGCCGTGGATTGGCTGAGCTGGTGGTGGGAGAGGCATTAACCTTGGTGTGCTTTTCGTAGGCGAATTGAACAATGGCCGTCCAAGATGGGGTCTCGCTGACTTCAGAGAAGCATAATCTAAGGGACAAAAGAAAATGCAATGGCATAAAGGTTCAGTGAGTAGCTGTCCACATTGAACGGCAACTGGATGCAGGTCCAGATCCTTATTTCTTCAGGAAATAAGCCTCCTTTGTAAATGGAATTTGCTGATGTGAAACAACAGTGGATACAATCCCTAAAACCTTATCAGTATTTATATCATTGATTTGACAAGTGTGAATTCTGTGCCAGCTCTCACACCAGCCTCTAGGTTCCATCGAAATATGCTGTGGGTAAAACCACATATTTCATAAACTAAGTAAAAATAAACCAAGTCCTTCGTATGAAGTTCTGCAAGCTATGAATGTAGTTCCAGTCAGTCAGATATTTACAAATAAAGTAAAGCAAAGATCCGTAGTTCAGTGCTGCGTATATCCAGCTAATCCAGAGTAATGAGCAAGGGACCAAGACAACTTTGGTACTATACTTACTAGAAGATGGATCCACAACTGGTGCTAACTGAACCCTCTGCCCAGCAGAGCCTACTTCCTTCTTCAGAAATGAAGGGATATAACCACTAGTTAGACCGCTTGATCCTACGGGCCCTGAAAGAAATGGCAAGAAACACTTGAGCTCAACACAATGGATCTTCCACACTATCAGCAGATGATAAAGGTGTGCGTTGATGGGTCATATTCAAGATTAAGCATGATCAAGGACTAATGAAAACGGGAACTTCAATGAAGACACTAGAAATCCACAGATCCTATACATGCCTGCATACAGGAGACTGCCAGCATCAGACTGCATTAAAGATGAATGGAAAACAGGTACAAATTGCGCTCTTGCAAGGGCAATTTCTGCTTCTCCTTGACATCTCAGCTTTTTCAAGGTTTCTCAAAGCGTTCAAAACTTAGCATTTCAGTTGCAATTATTTTGTTTGACTTTCAACAACTGGGTCCTACAAGTACATTCTTGATTTCTATGCAGTGAGTCTGCAGCTCTGGTGCTACACAAGGCTCTTACTAAAGCCAGTAAGAGTGCAACTTAATAAACTGGGACAAATTCACATTCCAAATTTGGAAAGTCAGCTACAAAACTTGTCCCCAAGATGAGCAGGAACAGATCTGCATGACCTGCAGCACAAGCTGTAGAAACTGGATCAAAAATAGATACAAACAAATCAGTGTTGAGTCGTAACGCAGATGGACACTAAACAAGTTAGCATGCACAGATCAGACCCAATGCACATATGCCTATAATGTACTAGAGCAGTAGAGCAGTGGCAAAGCATATTGTGGGAAATTATGGTAGTAAGTAAAAAAGGAAAAATATTTAACGATATCCTATGCAGCTACAAAAGAAGCAAAAACTTGTAGAAGAGCCAGGAAGGAGACATGTGCTAGGTTCTCATGTAGTTTAGCCATTTACAACATCCTCCCATCTTGAATCTTTAAAGAACATTTTTCTGATTAAATTACATCCAGAATATTAAGTTTTTCATTTTTTAAACAAGAGTTTCTAAAGGCCCAAAATGCTTCTTTGGGCCAAGATTCAACAGAAATTTTCTCAAACACTTTCTTAACAACATATGCAAAACAAGTACTGTGCTGCAGAACTGTAACATCACATGAAAAACTGAAGTCAAGAAAGATTCAGAGGGAGCACACAGATACAATCTAGAAACATCAACATGTTTAAGTACATCTGGTAAAATCTAATGTAAAAATCTACAAATTAATTACTTCAAATCAAATAATAGGGATTAAATACCTGAAATACCAAATGCCCCAAAAACCTGAAGAAGAAAAATTGAAGAGTTTTGCTTTTTGTCTGAAATTTTCAAAGCTATAATTATTCCAGTATTTCAAACAGCATCAACTAAAAGACATGATGATAGATTTTATTTGCTTTATTCACATAACAAGAGCAGTGTGTATGGCTAGTTCAATTTAGACCTGCTTCCTCCTCTATGACCATTTATGCACCAGCCGGGCTAAATAACTTGGAAACGTGAAACCATGACTTACAAAAAACTGACAAGGGAAATTGAGGGGGAAATGAAGCATTTCAGGTTGAACAGACTTAAGCCATCCAACCTTCTATGCATGTGGTACTTCAAACCAGACTTTGGGGGATTCATTAGAAATTACTATGTTTCAGTTTAATGTAGTCTCCAAATCCAAGGAACAGTGCTCATAACTGACTTCAAGAGAAAGCACAGACACAGTAGCAAATATCTCTGGAACTGATGATGTATTAGAAATGGGTAACCACAAAATACAGCTCTCTGGAATCGCAGAGACATCACCTATTTTCTCAGCGTGTTAAGTACAGTTTCTTACCTGAATTCATCCTGCTAACACTTCCTCCCAAACCAGAAGCTTTCCCGGGCAAACCAGAACTGGGCCAAGGATTAGACGGAACAGACTCTTTGTTTGAAGTGGAGACTATGTTATTCCTTGTGCTTATTCCTATTGCAAAAACGCAAAAATTACCACACTGCAATTTGTTACACAGGCTTGGATTCATTCCGTCTGATGCACAATCTTAAAGCAGCTGCCCGGTTCAGTGAACTTAACCAAAACCTTTTCACTCTAACGTGCCTCTGGGTCACCTCCCATCCTCTCATGCGGGAACGCTATGGCTAGCCATAGGCCCCATTCCTGCAAAGATAATACTGTAAATAGTTCCACTAGCATCAATGGCAGCTTGTGCCAAGGGACAGGATCCTTACATCAAGGCTACAAATACTCAAGTCACAGAAGGCGAACCTTGTTACGTAAATGAAACCTATGCTTTGTATCAGACGCAGCATTTTAGACTAACAGTGGCAAGATAACCTCAGAGTAAATAATAGCAGATTACATTTCTCATAGTACTGTACTCTTCTTTGGTGTATCTACTGAAACCACAAGTTGTGCAGTTTGCAGCAGAGTTCGTATGTCACATATTGCTTGTATTTAATATACATCCCATATTTAAGCAGGGTATCTAACACGCAAGGATGCACTCATAAGTTACTGTAAAGCAACAGCAGGCTTGGGATCAATGTGTTTTACAACCTCCTCTAGTAACGCAGCTTTTAGCCATGAAAACTCTACCGAAGTGATCCAATTTGAAAATCATTGAAATTAACTGTTTCAGGAAAAAAGTCGGAGTACCATCACGATACCTTTTAGGTTACTTAATTAATTTTGAATTACTAGTACTACAAGTTAATGAACAGCTAACACTGCCTTTATAAACAGAAATTATGAAAGAGGATATATGTTCAGCTTATTTTAAGTACAAGCAGCCATGATGTCCACCTCCTGTACTTCATCCTGCCCCAGTGCTGGTCTCAGTATTGCAGAGGTTAACATGAAGACAGGCATGCAATTCCTCTATAGACAGGATCTGCATTCTATTTAACTCCAAGATACAGCAAAGCATATTCCCATTATTAGTTAGCTTCTTTTGTTCATGCTATTATATACTCACGAGGTAAACTTAAGGCACTTTATTTTCCAGTCTTATCCTTCTTAGGGAAACAGGGAACAGCTCGGCACATTAACAGATGTTTTCTAACACGCTTCAAAGTATGAGTATCCAGCAGGAGGACGAAGTACCAATGATCCTGTCCCCTCCTTGTAAGCAGGATTTATCTAGTTGCTGGACGCTAGAATGTAGTTTCTATCACAACCATCTACATTAGCAAAGCTCTTGCTCTCCTCATTTTCTTTAAGCTGCAGCCCCCCATCCACAAACTCAAAAGATAAAGCCTCATGTACCAACAACTACTTCATACGGCTGTTGGAATTACGGGAAGAAAAAGAAATAAGTATTTTTTACTAACCAGGTAGATACCTAGAATGTCTCAAGTAGTGTTGCTTTGCTGCAGAAACTCGCAATGTGGGAGTGTCCTGCTGTGGAAAGGTCGCATGGGAAGGTGCACTGCTGCCAGACCCTACAGCATCCGAAGGCTTCAGGTCCAAAATGCTTTCAAATCTATAACCCAAAAATTGCTACACTTAGTTCAATTCTTATAGCGTATGTTTATCCACAGTCGGCCTTCTCATCTCCATCCCATATCCAGGAATCATTTCCTCATACTGTGTTTGCTACAGCATAAACACACAGACAACAGGGAATATTTTCAGCCTGAATGGCTTCAGGCTACTTGTATGGCTACAAGTGCCCCTGAAAATCAGATTAGTGCTTCTAGTTCCCTTATATATTGCTCTTAAGGTTTTCATAAATAACTCAGTAAGGTTTTCTCTACTGTGTATAAGCCGCAGTTTCCAGGGATGAAAGTCACCCAAAACAGTTCATATGTGTGGAATATGTAAAAATGGTTCGTATGTGAAATAGAAACTATATATTCAAAGATTAACTTGGGACGACTTAAGCTAAGCATCATTTTGAATGGGGAAAAATGAACAAGGAATTGTATAGAAGGGTGCACTGTCCATCAAGAAAGGTGTTGTAATTCAAAGGTCAGCATTCAACAAGCAGCCAAAGCAAAGCAGGAGAGAGACAAGCTATGTGTCCTTTACCAGCCTGGATATATGTTTCTAGATCCATAGAAAGAGTAAAGAGCAACATTATGAAAAAAGAGGGAAACCCTAAGGATATAAGACCAAATAGCACACGAACATAACGAAACCAACTTACCTACACAGAGTTTCATTGCTCTGCCTCTTCTTATTTTTCAAGTCCATCTTCGTGATGGAAGAGCTGAAATCAAGGTCTTCCAAGTCATCCCAGTCTTCAGAACTCTTCACTGTTCTAGCAAGATGTCCCCATCTTCGTCTAGTTTTTGGTTTAAGTTCACCATTTATATTCTCAGTCCCAGCAGATGCTTTCTGTTGTAAAGATTGAAAAGAAACAAACCCATGCACTTACACCAGGCTACAGGAACAAAGATGACTTTTTTTTTTCCCGTCTCAAAGCGTAATAGTGGTAGTAGAGCTGTAATAACGCAATCCTAATCTTTCATTAAACATGCTAAGAACACAATCTGTAGCCTGTAGACATTATTACGTATCTTCTGCTTTTCATCCTGTAATAAAGTGTCTTGTGCTGACAGAATAAATTTCTTAGGTCTCAATTAAAATTCTATTTACATTTCACTATACACGACCCAAACAACTAGCTCACACTCAATTTTTAACTTCTTGACTCACCTTAAGAGTACAAAACTGCATGCACATTCATGTTTCCACAAGCCTGTGCCCAGACATTTATAAAATGTATTTTTCTTGCAGGACAGCATAGGCACACATTTGTGTCTCTTCAGCCATTTAAGCTCAACAGCACATTTCAACCTTGTGCAACTCTGTACAAGGCCAGTACAGACCCTACTTAAGAATGATCTCTTAGCAGCACCAGCATTCAAACTGTTTGCTCTCATCATCTACCTTATGAATCCAGTCTCCATACATAATCAACAGAAATGGTGGGTTCTTATGCTGAAAGAAGAATCTGTTGTTTTCCATGGCCAGTATAGAAGCCCAAAGGGACTATCACTCTCAGTCACTTAAACTGGATGCCTTAAACGGATTAAGGCAATAGCCCTCTTCCGCTTCACTTCAATACTATTTAACTTAATACTTTTCTCTCCGGCATTAGTTCCATTAATATTCTGACCACTGTACATCCTTTTTACTCATGAAGTCCCAGTGTCATCCTTTAAGTGGTGCTTTACAACAACGGGAAGCATAAAATGGCTTTGAAATGAGAAATCAACTTGCTTGTTTTATAGCAATTTGATTTAGATTTCAACACAGTAACTTCCAGCTTCTATCAGAAAGTTATAACTATTCTTCATTCCCATTTCCTGTCCTTTTAGTAAAGTGTAAGAACCTTATCAAAGAGAACAAGAAAAGGAAACGCAATTAAGGAAAAATCAGGCAGTGTAACAGGAGGTGTTATCTTACGCTAGAGGGACATTACCTGCTGAGGAACCTTATTGTGAATTGCAGGCAGAAGAACCTGGTTAGACTTGTCCTCCTGTAAGTAGTTACTGTGCTCAGCCCCAGAGTTGTCTGTCTTATATGGGTACACCAAATGCTGGGAAGACTGGCTTTGTTGAAAAGGCCTTGACGAAATGCGGGTGTGAGGTTTTGGAGGGGGTTGTGCTGGAGGGACAGGCTTAATATGCAGAGATGATTTATTATGCAGTTCCTTTTGTCTCCCCAGTTCCTGAACGCCCAGGGCATGCCCAACCTGGAAGTACGGATATCGAAGTGCCTAAAACATAATGAAGATGTTAGGATCCAACCTAGGAAACGAAAGTTTTTAACTTACTCCAGCCCTACGTGACAGTACAAATTTAACTTCCTTTTTCTCTGGGGTGGGAAACAGCAGAGATGCATCTCTCAATGCTAGATTCTAGTAAGCACAATCCACTTCAGAATAATGCTGCAATAGTAGAAAAGTTTCAACAGATACCAACTTTCAAACCCTCGGTGGACTTGCACAAAAAGAAAAGGTTCTGCAGAAGTAAGATACTTAACCAGTTATATGGCATCTAGAGGGATGTTTCATTATGTGCTGTCTCTTCATATGTGCGTGTGCAAACACCTGTCATCACAGATTCAGCTATCAAGTCTTGAATGACCCCAGAGACATCCCATCTCTTCCATTCTCCAGTTCCAAGACGGAATCAAGTTAAAGAAAATGTAAACTTTATGAAAATTAGCCTCTCTCTTTTTTGGAAGACATGTTGGTAAAAATATCTTTATGCTGCCTTACAAGTAATTAAGGAGCTGTCAAGTAAAGGCAATCCATCTCTGCCCACCTTGCTGTTTCAGGTATACTCATCTTCCCTTCCTGCAAAAAGCTTCCAAAAGCTCACATTCCTCACCATATTTATACCTTACTGTAAAACATTTGTTAATGGCTCTTAATACCAAGTTACTGTCAGTATTTTTTGCTTTTCATTACTTTTGAGAGTTCTTAATCTATTGCACTTTTTAACTGCTTTAATTAGCTTTAAAGCTTTATTACAGTTTCTATTGAAGGTCTGATATAATCACACAGGTTTGGCTATGGTCCTATTGAAGTCAAGTCAAATTTGAACCCAGAAACACATCTGTTTTTCAAAAGGTGCCCTGCTCATTTCATTAGCTGAGTACTATTACTACAGTGCTGATACCTGAAACCAGTGGCTACCATTAACAACATCAACTGGACCATTTCTTGTGCAATACTGATGATGTGGGCTATGCTTATGTACGGGATGTTGGGGCATACCTACAGAGCTGTTGAGCTGAGGCTGCCCTGCAAACTGCCTCGCGTAACCTAGCTTTATCCAGGCAACACTGGGCTGGATGAGCAGACAGTGAGGTGCATTGAAAGCTGACTGAATGGCCCGGCCCAGAGTGGTGGATCAGCGGAACAAAGTCTGGTTGGAGGCCAGTAGGTATCAGTGTACCCCAGAGGTCAATACTGGGGCAAATACAGTTCAACATCTCCATTAATGATGACGACGGTGGTGCAGAGTGCTCCCTCAGCAAGTGTGCTGATGACACAAAACAGCAATGAGTAGCTGATACACCAGAGGGTCATGCTGCCATCCAGAGGGACCTCAACAGGCTGGAGAAAAGGGCTGACAGAAACCTTATCGAGCTCAACAAGGGGAAATACCAAGTTCAGCACCTGGGGAGGAACAACCCTGAGCACCAGTACATGCTGGGATAAACTACCTGGAAAGCAGCTTTGCAGAAAAGGACCTCGTAGAAACCAAGTTGAACGTGAGCTACGGAAATGCCCTTGCTGCAAATAAGGTTAGCAGTATCCTGGGCTGCATGAGCAGGAGCACTGCGAGCAGGCCAAGGGCAGTGATCCTTCCCCTCTGCTCAGCACTGGTGAGGCCACACCTGGAGTGCTCTGTCCAGTTTTGGTCTCCCCAGCAGAAAAGAGAGATGGACATAATGGAGAGAGTCCAGTGAAGGGCCACAAAGATGATAAGGGGCTAGAGCATCTCACATATGAGGGAAGACTAAGAGAGCTGGGACTGTTCATCCTGGAGAAGAGAAGCTTCAGGGCAATCTTATCAAAGTATGTAAATACCTAAAGGGAAGGTGCAAAGAAGATGGCATGAGGCTATTTTCAGTGGTGCCCAGTGGCAGGACCAGAGGCAATGGGCACAAACTGAAACACAGGAGATACATTTCCTGATGTTCAGAGGTTTTTTTTTTTACTGTGAGGGTGACTGAGCACTGACACTTGTTGCCTAGAGCAGGAGGTTGGTCCAGATGACCTCCAGAGGCCCTTTCCAACCTCAACCTTGGCATCTGCTCTTCTCCCTTCTAAGAACTACACCCCTGAGCAACTGTTAAATGACTGTCTATAAAAAGTGCCTTGCAATGAAAGGAAGCATTATATGCAGATGTGAGAAGAAGAAAACAAAATCAAACCTGACTAGCTGTTGGCCGCTTTTTGGGGTCCCACTGCAGCATATCTCTCATGAGCTGCACCGCTTCACTGCTAGCATTAGGTATGAGGGTTTTTAGGTTGTTAGGTACACACTGAGGCCAGCGAAAATTCATGGAAGCTGAAAGTTGGTAGCCTTCAGGCCAGTCGTTCTGGAAGAATGAGATTTCCAATCACAAAGAAAATTCAGCTGTAAAACATCACAGTGCTTAAGTACACTAGCATATATTCTCTTATCAGTAACAGCCTACATCCAGCTTGCTCTAGACTGTTTTAAAGATTTCACTAGACACTTTCACCTCAAACCTCTGGTGAGAGTTAAGTCTTGCTTTACATCCAACCAAATCAAAGGCACAAATGGAATCAGGACACAGGAGTCTTGCCATGATTCCAATTTCTAGCCTCTTAAACCACAGGTTTACGTGCAATACGCATGAGAAAATGGAATGTCCACCTAATGAAATCTCAGTCTAATGACTTTGCTGTTGAGGGGTCTATTTCTCCTCCTCTAAATGTCAGTTTTCATAGCATAATTACATAATGCTTATTTCACAGAAAATAAGTTTTCCTTTAATAAGTTTACTATATCTGAGATCAATGCCATACAACAGCAGTAAGCATGAAAATTGATTACTTTTACGCTTATTGCTGTTGTGCTATTCTGTATTGCAGAACATCTCCAGTATTATTGCAGTGTGGAATGTCACTGTAACTACCTTCTTTGGCGTCCCCAAGACTTGGCAAATTTTGAATATAGTATCAATTTCACTGGCGCCTGGGAAGAGAGGCCTCAGTGTGTAAACTTCTGCCATTATACAACCAACAGCCCAAATATCTATTGGAGAACTATAGCTGGTGGATCTCAGAAGGACTTCAGGAGCCCTGTACCTGTAAAAGAGAAGAAAAAAAAAAGAAAAAATCCCATCAACCAACACAATTCAAACAGACATACACGAAACCATTCAGCTCTTCAGTCTTTGCTGTGAAGAGCAAACATCCCTTAAAAAGCTCCTATCCTTTCCTATCTCAAACACAAGACTTCATTTTTTTTTTTTTTCCTAGAATGAAGAATTAAAACCTACATAAGCTCTTGTAAGCTCTCGAACGCCTTCCTGACATAGAGCAATCCCAGCACATCCCACCTGTCTTATCAAGTCCCCTGTTTGCTTGTGTGCTGCTGCTGTCTGCAAACTGTCTTGCACTAACTGAAGCTTTTCGAATTACACCAAGCTTGAATAAAAGTTTCAGAAAGAGGAGCATCAAAAGTGGTATTGCCTTCAGCACAAATTTAATACTTTATTCTTTAAAGGCTTGATTGTAAGTTTCACACAATGTAGGTGAATACTAGCACTTACCATCTTGTGGATACATAGTCGGTGTAAGGAGGCCTAGATCGGATTTCTCGGGCTAAGCCAAAGTCTGCTATTTTCACAAGTTCTGGTCCCATGCAAAGCAGGTTTTCGGGTTTCAAGTCTCTGTGAAAGAACCCTAAAATTCAAATGAAATATTGATGTGCATTGCAATGTCACCCCCAGCTGTAGCCTTTATTTTCCACCTGGATTGTTTTGCTTTTGTTTTTATTGCTGGAGCTTGAATAGCTCAACACAGAATTCAAAGTCGTATGTGATCAGAGCTAGTCAGTATAATGGTTGTTCGGTCAGACTGCGAAGAACAGCATATACAAGCTGACTATCTTCTAACAATTCAGAGCATTCTGTCAGGTATCTCCCATTCAAGTGACACTTCTTTAACATAGAAAAAAATACACCATTTTAATGTTAGTTTAATTCTAATTGTGCTGGAAACCATGCAATAAAGACATTCAAAAATTACTTCAAAAGTTCTTTTCAACAGAATACAAATTAAAACATGAGGTAATTTTTTTTGCACTTTGAAGCTTCTTTTTAAATCTGAGGACATAATAATCTGCAAGCACTCAGTTACTGATCACCCTATCAGACAAGGGATCTCAGCGTATTTTTTTAGTGCTCCATTCAGCAAAACTTGGATCACAAATGAGCATTTGGCAAAAGCTCTCTCAGTACAAACGAGAGAGGAGGGCTAGAGTATTACTGACTACTGTCTCTGAAATTTCCTTCCACCCTTAGTCTGGAAAACATGTCCTAATGCTTATTTCTTGCAGACATCTGAGACCGCTGTTTCTTATATACAGCTCCTTCTGTAGTACCTTACTAGAGCTCTTTAACCGCCTTTTCAAAGACCTTCCAACATGCTTAGTTTTTCCCATGGCCTTGAATATGCTCCCAAAGAGAACAGAATGAACATTCACAAAGGATGTGTCTACGTTGTCCAATATAACTATATTAATGTTTATTTGCTAGATCAGTACATGACAGCACTGAAGATACAGAGCTGCAGATTTTTACCAACCAGCAGGTTATGTCCTTCCTAGGGGTATTAAGTAGATATCGTGGTGCCAGCTTGAACTACTGCCTCTTAATGGAAGGTATCAGACAGGGCAATCAAGGTTGCTTTTCGCATTTAGTACAATCACTTCTGTATTTTGCTGCACAGACATGCAATGCATCAACAGAATACTTTTGAGGCAATTTATTTCATGGCAAACTTGTAAAAAGAGCAATTGATTGTGTATTCAAATATGAAAAGATGCTAAGAGCTTGGGTAGACAAAGAACATAAAAAGTTTACTGGACAAGCATTTCTATGTTGTGCAGGAGTGGAATATAGAAACAAAGAGAGGGGGAAAAAGTTCATATGATTTTTCCAGAACTGTTGCAGAGAGAATCTTGGGACACCCGGTCTTACACTGTGAGCCACAAGGCCATCAAGACTATCCTGTCAGGCTTCCATGAATTTCCAGATCTTTGTAACTATGGATTTGCAACAATTTGGCAGAAATATCAGCCTACTGTGTTGCAGATCAGGGAATAAGACAGTTAGTTTTGACACAAACTTGTTCATTCTTTATAGCTATAGTATGTTAAATAGCAGTGAAAGGTATTCTGAAAGGTTGTAATCCATCTGATGATTTATTAAAAAAAGGTGGCTTAGATTTTTGCAAAGAAATCATATTATTTTTCTGGTTTTAAATATTTTGTATCTCACTGGAACAGACTGGAATGTCTCATCTGGTTTCAGAAGTGCATCCAAGCTCCATTAGAAGAGAGAATAAAGCCATTAGCTTGAAAATGTTTTGCAAAATAAAGTTAAATGTGTTTGTCAAGTGAAATGAAATGCTAGTCCTACAAGCCTTTCAGTTCCAAGACTTTGGCCACCCCCTGATAACCCCGAGAGCTGACCGGCAACATACACTACAGTGTATTTAGCAGGCAGAATTGCAGAGCACAGCAAAACATGGTGAGGAAGTCATCATTAAAATAAGTAATTCTTTTTTTATTAGTTAAGGGGTCTTGTTACGACTGGCTGGTACATCAGCTTTAGCTTTTATCATTATTGTAAAAAATAGTTGGAAGGCCATGCAATGAAAGCTGTTTGTCACTCTGACTCTAAGAGTATCTTACAGAGAATGTGCATTTTATTTGCGTATCTGTGTGTACCTTGAGAAAAGAGTAATTTTTCCTTTATTCTCAATTTCAGAGGACCTCTAAATCTTTTAAGAAATGTGCCCATTAACATCAGATGAGTTTTAGAAAGTGCTCAGTTTGAGAAAGTAGAAATCTACAGAAAAGGAACTGAGCAAACCTTCAGACTAAAATATCAGGCAACTATAAAATATGGGTATTCTCAGTAATCTGAATCTCTCATATAGTGCCATTCTTTCGATCACTCCCTTTACTAAAGCTAGTAATGTAATTGTTAGTGTACTCATAAAAAAAAAAAAAAACAAACACTTACACAGACACCATCTTGCTCTAATTCAATATGTTTACAGCTAAAACATAACCTACCATGCTTATGGATAAATGCAAGCCCTTGCAGGATCTGATACATAATATTCCTAACTGTAGACTCAGGAAACAGTTTGTTTCTGTAGGATAAAAGAAAAGGGAAGAAATAAATATTAATGATTAAGTTCACACATTAGCTGATGCTATCTAATGAACCAAAGATAAAAGGTAACAATGACAATAAAACTACTGGATATATCTTAAGCACCTTCATGTAGTTTATTTCTCCAATAATTTACACAGTATTTGCAGAACTGTCATAATACATTACATTAATACTATGTGACATCATGTTAAGGCTATGTGGGACAGTGAACTAAAACAGGGAAAAAAAGAAAATTGACCAAACTGAACAAACCTTAACACATATAGGTCATCAGGCATGCTCCTCAAGACAGCAAGGGTTCATGTTAATTTAGTGCTTTTCATGTACAGTTTCTTCTGGCCTCTCTTCTAAAGCATATGCAAGCCATACTTTTGGGTTTACCTTGTTATTATCTAACTGCTGATGTGCTACTTTCTTTTCTGTTATCTGAAAAAACAGTCTCATCTACTACCACTGAAAACAAGAGGTTCTTCTCCTCGTAATACTCAGGCAAGAAGCTCAGCTATGGCAGGCGGTTTAATGACAGCCTCTCTTACCAAGAGAGGATTCTGATCAAACAGCTCAGTTCCAGCTGCCTCCGCGCATGCCAAAACAAAGTAGAGATGAGTTGGGGTGGAAATCAGTGACAATTTTATTCAGAAAGAGCCTAACAGTGAATGAAGATGACGGTCTGGACCTTATTCAATTTCCTGAGCTTGATTCCTCTCAAAAAACTCGACCGTCACATATTTCAGAAGTGAGATCAGCTACTAGAGTCAGCTTTTCATATTTGCTTGCTTATTTTTTAAATTACAGCAGAAAGAGAGTCATATTTCCTCTACAGTCCCTTCCAGCAAGACTGGCAATTTTAACTAAGGTTTAAGTAAATCACATTCTAAAAAGTTTGATTTATACAATGTTTAACCTGTCCAAGGCCTAGCTAAACTGTAGAGAATATGATGTGCAGCACGCTTACAGACACCTGCCCTTTTTGTTTTCATAAGCAGGTAGGATATATCAAGCACTTCTAAGAAATTCGTAAAGATAATCGGTTTGTACGTTATACACTTTAATGATTTTATCAAGATTCATCATTTCATAGAATTTCAAATCAGCATCCATATATACGTGTACAATTTAGATACAGTTGTTCTATACCTATGCATGCATTATAAGTATTTTTATGCTTTAAAAGGTATTTTGTGTAGTATTCACAGAGATATACTGTAACAATAACCTTACTTTGTTAAATGAAGTGAGATTACTGTCATCTCCCAGGCCGATTCTATGGTCCATAGAGAAAATGGCCTCCTCAGAGAACAACTCACAACAAAGAGATATTTTGCCCCAAACTATCCTCTGGAGGATGCTATCATGGTCCAAAGGCTAAAATTGAGACTTTATTAATGCTCCAGCAAATATAAAAAAGCTAGATTTTATTGAGAATGCTGACAAATAAAATATACAATCTTTGGACATGTCAGTTCAAATTGCAAGGAAAAAAAATATTCCTAGAACCAATCCAGAATTTGACCCCTCATGATTACTGTTTCAACCACTTTTTATATATGCATTTATTTGAGGAAGCCACAAGACAGGAGGTGGTGGTACCACCCTCTAATAGAAAAAGCATTGCTGGTTGGAATACTTACCTAGAAATCAAAAGTTCTAGGTTCAGCGCCTCCTCAGCATGAGGGCTGTTAAAAGTCCACAGTTCCTAACTCTCAAAAGAGTGGTCTACTTATGTGCCAGGCTAATCTGGGAAGAGACACTGGAAACTCTCACTAAACTGTCTGGGATACGCTCAAAGGTGACAATCACAGCTCCTACTGCAGTACACAGCTTTAAGCCATAGTGATCTAAGCCTAAACAAATGATCCAAAGTCCTTTGAAAAGTAACAGGAGTGATAAAAACACATTACGCAAGTAATTAAGTTATATCAGGAATGGGTGATGCCATCACATACCTTTCTTTCATTAACTGATAGAGATTTTCCTTCATGTATTCAAACACAAAATACAGATGATCGTTTTCCCTGATAACTTCTTTCAGCTTTACTACATTGGCATGGTTTAATTTCTTCAAAGACTAGAAACAGAAAATACAAACAGGATTTTATAAGGGTCTTACTGGAATGAAAAAGAAAAAACTATTTCACTGACGCAGAAGACTTGGCTTCTAAAACTCTTCAATATTTTAAATAATCAGACAGCTCTGAGAACAAAGACCAGATCTCCAAGTATGACTAGATACGTATACAATATACGTATCAATGCACACAGGTCATTGAAAAGCCAGCTATTTGGCATCACAGTGTACACCAAAACAACTGCACTTTCTCTGTAAGGAACTTCCTACTGGCAGAATTCACACTCTTCTTGTACTTGCACTGGTAACAGTCAGGTTAGCCTCAGGACTAAATACAACCCTGGAAATTCTTCCTTGGTATTGTGGATTAACCCTGGTGGGCAGCTGAGCTCGCTCATCCCCGCAGTGGGATGCAGGAGAGACTCAGAAGGGCAGAAGGTGAGAAAACTGATGGGTTGAGATAGACTGTTTAATAGGTAAAGCAAAAGCTGCGTGTGCAAGCAAAGCAATTCATTCACTGCTTCCCAGACTTCCCAGAGGTAGGCAGGTGTTCAGCCATCTCTAGGAAAGCAGGGCTCAATCACACATAATGGTTACTTTGGAAGACAAATGCCATCACTCCAGAGGTCCCTCAGCTTTTACTGCTGAGCACAATGTCGTATGGAACATCCCTTTGGTCAGCTGGGGTCAGCTGTCCTGGCTGTGTCCCCTTCCCTGCCTCTTGCCCACCCTCAGCCTAGTTGTTGGTGGGGAAGTGTGAGAAACAGAGGTGGCTTGAGGTTGTACAAGCACTGCTCAGCAATAAGGAGAACATCCCTGTGTTACCAACACTGTTTTGGTCATAAATCCAAAACATATGAGCTGCTATGAATAAAAGTAACTCTATCCTTGCCAAAACCAGGATACTTGGGCCTTCATTCTCCCTGCTTTTTAGATCCTCAGTGTATTCTACATTCATTCTTGCTGTCACAACACAGTACCAATACACGGTACTTAAGAAAAGTGACCTAGGTTTTCTGCATGTTGGCAAGAGCGATAGCAAGGACTAGAAATTGAGGGAGGTCCTTAGAACACACCCCTAAAGCTTTGCTGGTGTCAGAATTTCATGCTAAATGTCTGTCCCCAAACCAACTATCCAGAAACAACTGCGTGTACAAAGGTTACTGCTGAGCAAAGGGCACGTGTTCTCAAGCTCTGAAAAAAAAACGTCCATCAACTTAAGGTTTTGTGATAAGAAAGCTCGCTCACTCTCACCACTCACTACAAGGAGGAAGCAGCTCTCTACAACCAAATTATTTTTTGTAAAACTACAGAGTTTTAGTAAGAATTTTTATAAGACTACAGACACCCCATACAAATGCAGAGCCAGGAAACAGAACTGTAACGCCATATGCCACAGCTCATGTTGCAGGGAGTTTTCAATAAAAGGGGTGGAAAGAATTTGGTGTTACCCCCAAATGTGACAGGGATTGTCTAATTTAAAGCCAAGTATTGAATGGAGCAAGTACCTTAACCTCTCGAAGGTTCATGCATTCCTCCCAGGAATAAAACTTTCTCTTCATTCTACAATAGGAGAAGGAAAAAATTATTAACACACAGCCAACATCAGCTGGTCTTAGACCCATAAGTGTCCTCACATCTTAACAATTCAGTTTTTCCATCAAAATAGAAGGTGTTACGTCCTAGCCAAGGTACACTCTAATAGAATTTAAAAGCATTACTATTACACAGGATTGCCTTTTTTCATGTATCTATCTTGCTGCAAAACTTTCAGAGCCTTCAACAAGTCGGGGATGCTATTTTTTTTCCAGTATACAATGTGGTAGAATCTAACAAGAACAAGGGTTATGACAGTTATGAACAACTCAGACTAAGTTTTGAAACAAATCTGATGAAGACCAAATTAAATCACTTCACTGGATCTCAAATTTTATCATATTCTTCTTGCTCCTCTTCTCTATATTTTGATTTCTCTGTAATTTCAATACCTCTAAGTTATATTTCTTCATTTTTCAGTGTCCACTGTGCCCCACGTTTCTCTCTCCCTTGCGAGTTGCATCTATCATGCCAACTGCTTTTTGAATTGTCTTTCGTTTCAAACTTATAAGCAACTCTGCTCTAACAGGAACAAACTGTGTGGCAGATCTGTTTTCTCCTAAGCCAGAATATAACCCTGAACAAGTATTTGTGCATAACGTATGGTCCTATTTGTTCATATACATTTTCATTATGACTGAGTTCTTTCAAAATAATTCTATGCTTTAGGACCAACAGGATGAAGGCTCATAAACACATGGAAGAGCACAGATTAAACTTACAAAAACATCCAGCTGCTTAGAGTCTGGATTTCAGAGGGAGTTAGACACTCTTTGAAGATCTGAGTCTTTGTCAAACTTAAATAATAATTCAGTGTTACTTAATATTGTAGTAAGTTTCCAGTTTGAAATCAGCTCTTATAATTAGAATAGTTTAAGAACTATAACCCCTTCATTCCGTGGAATTAAGCAGTGGTTTTGCAGTCACTGTCTTGTGCGTTCAGCCACCAGGCCATTTCTGTTCTTGATAACGGATTGGCATTAACAAGTAAGCTAAGAGAGTAACATCTTCTCATTTGTTCTGAAATTTTTGAGCTTCCACCATGCTGCAAAATGAAAATCAAAGGTGTCTCTGGCAAGGTTTGATACAGGAAAAATACCCTCAGCACAGAGGATTTAGCAAGTTGCTAAAGCCAGCTATTGACTGTTCATACAAAACAGCATTGTACTGAAAGCTCTTTCAACAAGTATGTCCCTGGGTCATGGCCGGTATTTCAGGAAGGTGCCTGCAACGCTTTACAGCTGTCTCTTACACAACTAGGACAAATAAGCCATTTACAGACTGAGGTCACTGCTGAAGCAGCAGAGAAAATCAAGTGGATTTCTCAAGGAATTTTAAGAAAATCTTAAGCTGAAAAGACCAATACATAACAGCATATAAAGATACAGCTAATGGACAATGAGATCCATTGTGTTAATTATCACTGCAGTATTAACATTTCACTGGAAATAAGACCATGAAATGTACGTTCCACGTAATCAGCCCAGAAGGGGCTGCAGATTCCAAAGCAGCATTGCAGAATACTCTAAATAATATACATAATACATGTTTGACTGCACACAGTAGCAGAGCACTGTTACAATAAGCCTGTATACCTCACCCTCTTTATCTTCTGCTGGAGCTTTGGAGGAGACAAGGATCCGGAGCTCTGCACACTGCCCCCATACAACTCCAAATACAAACATTGCATGGAATGTGAAATACTCAAACCTGCACAGCCAAGGGATGGGGACCACAGAATGGAAAAACCTGGACCATTCACTGTTAAGTAACAAATGAAAATACTTACTTTTTAATGGCTATTAGCTCTCCAGATTCAATGCTTCTCCCTAGGAGGACAGAGCCGTAGGTCCCATCACCAAGCTGTCTGATAGTTGTGTACCTATTCATGATGAGGATACTTTAGCTGCAAGCGCATTTCAGTCCTTAGTGTTTCTTGTGTTTCTCCTCCGAGTGTAACCAGTTCTTTCTGTGGCAGCATAAATACAGAGCACTCAGGACAGTGTGAACAGTTGCAGGAATCATGTTTTCAAGACTTAGCCTTTGGTCTGAAAGCACAGAACACAATCCGTTTGATTTCTGTACCCTTCCGAGATTGATTGTTTGCAGACTCCATTCTCCTCCAAGAGATATTCCTTGTAAACTATACACAAACACTCATCTTGGTCTCTCACCAGAAAAGGGCCAGCCTGTATCGGGACATAACTGGGTATGTTCCCCAAATCCACTCTCGTGCTAAAGCTAGAGGCACTTTACAGAAAGCTTGCAGCCAGCCCTAATGGGAGAAACTATAACTGAAAGCAGAGGATAAACTCTCATAGCTTGGAGAAAATAGTGTGCTATCAGAAAAATGAAGCATTAGAGTAAGATAGGAGGGAATATGTTCTAGTGAAATTATCTGACATGTAAGTCACCATCTCACAAGTCATACTGTCATCAGTTAAAACAAACCAATTTCCTGACTTTCCATAAGGTCCTATGCTTGAGATATAGCCATGTGTATTGCTTTAAACAAAGTCTTCCAAGGAAGAATATTATATTCATGTCAGATAAGACCAAATGTATTTCACTACAGTAGTTCTAAGCATGAATCAGTCTCTAGAAGTAGTGACTACATCACATTATCTATCCGACCTTTTGTCCTGACACCATGTGAACAACAGAATGCTAGATAATAAAGCAATAAAGTTCTTATTTCCTCATTTAAACTAATTGTTGCTAGTATTTCCTACACTTTCGTCTAGAAAAAATGTGATCTATTCCATGTAAATTAACCATACATTTGGAACAAAACAGAACTCCCTTGCAATGAGAATCCGATTGCCGCATTTTGGTTTTCTCCAACCCTAAGAGGACAGTGACAGTCACAGCTGGTGACTTTTACCTTCTGTAACCTGCATTTAAACTACATTTCCACAATTATTTTTTTTTTGTGGCAGCCTTAAATCTCTCCTCCATCTTGCCTTATTTCACAAAGCCAAATTGATATTTTGAAAGTAATGGGATTATGTTGCTTGAACTCTAAACTGACATCAATGCAGAGCCACAATCCTGCAGATGCAAGATATTGTGAAGATCCTTTGCTTTCAGTCTTCTAAGCCTATTAGTCCCGCTCACACCGATACAGGAACAAACAAACAAAAATTAGGAAATATGATGTTAATACAATACACCTTTTGACAATTTTACACATCATGTATGACAAAGAAACAGCATGTCTCTAACACCACCTTAGACACTGCGCAGTGTCTCAAACAGGCAGGAGGAATTGCTCTCTAGCAGTACCCATTTCTCTCCACACACTACTACAGAGAACTATGAATGAGCACCTTAAATTAGAGACCTAATCCCACATTTTGTACTGCTTGTCAAGGAACACAGAGCCTGTCCGTAAGAACTGCACTTTGGAGTACCAGTTTCTTTTTGACTGGTTTTCAGGCTGTGCACCTGCTGTTCAGGCAGCGTTCTGCATCCAGGTTAAAAAGCTTTAATTACTCCAGCTGGTTAATGACTGGGTGGCAACTCGGAAGCCTTAGCTCCCAGACCTTTATCCAGGCCCTTGGCAAAAATTTCAAACAATGACAAAGCCTTGCATGGTTTCCTAGTCTGAAAATGTAGCACTTATTAGTACCCAAACAAATAATTTTATACCTTAACTTCAAATTGAAACAGACAGGACTTGTGGATTTTTCAGCACATCCTTCCCTAATGATGGAGTTCTGAAATTGTAATCATAACAGACACAATGGCTTACAATTCATGGACTGTTACGCTGCCCCATTCACATATCCCTTTCCAGGGGACTGTGACTGCAGAGTGGAGGAGCATCTTTGCCTCATGTTTGATAACCACAGCAAACAGAAAGATGCATAACGCTGCTAGCACATGACATGGCTAGTAATAACAACCAATGCCATTATGGACAGATCAATTTGTCCGACAGCTCTTGAACAGATGAAGTGGTGAACATAACTGCCTGTTCCTTACTGGGGATACTAATTTAAGCCCCTCTCCTTCCCACAGCCACCAATTTTCACAAAACTTGTAATGTTTGAGATTCCAGCTCTCCTGTCAAATATAACCAAAACAGACAAATGAACTGAAGCATTTCTGAGGCATAAAGCAGAGGCAAAGAACATAAAGAGGAAAAAAACAGTCAGAAAATACAGATTTTGGTGAGGAATGAATGTTAAAAAATATGCCAGGATGCACAGAAGTTAACACAGCTCCTATAGAAGCACAAATCCACCTGTATGAAAATCCATTGAACAAAACCTAAATCTAAGTCATCTTTGGTTAATTAAATCGCTACCATTTCTTGTTGGGCTTAACAATGAAGCTGTTTTTAAAAATCTATTTCACTTTGCAAGACTTATGTTCTGTCCTTATCACTTTCTACTATCTCTCACCCTCAACTAGGGGAGTAAACTAAACCTTACCCTGCAGACTGTGTCACCTAAGTGGAGTCCAACTGAAATCACTGAAAAGAGCACATGAATCTCTGAGCAGTAGTTTGCAGAGCTACAACACATATAATCTAGTCGAGATTCTAGTCTACAACTACAATCTAGGCAAATTCACATCGTTGTATGATGCAAATACAAACTGCAAAACTGTCTCGGAGTAAAAGATTGTGTTGACACTGAATAGAAAAAAGTAAAAGCCTTATTTTCACTGTATTTTAACACCATGCTCAGACTCCCTCACCTATAAACATATTTTTTTTTCCCGCAGAACTCAACGAGCAAAGCCCCTTCAAAGGCAAGCCTAATTTAACATGTCGCAACTACTTTCTGACCCTTAAGTATAACTCAAACTGACTATTTCGCTTATGCACGCTCTAAAGGAGCATCCCCTCCCGCTGGAAGGGCTGCAGCGCCCAGAACCGAAAGCGAAACTGTCTGACTGCCAAAGCTGAGAAACGCCAACAGTACACAACCGGCGAGCGCCCTGCGAGACCCGTCCTGCGCTCCGGCGGTAACCTGACGGCGTTCCCGGTAGGATGCACAGCGAAAGGCGTGGTTTCGAGCCGCGGGTTTCAACCGGTGTCGTGCCAGCAGCCG